CCAAGCGAGCCGTTCGTTGTAGTTCTTGAAAAGGGATTTAAAAAAAAACGAAATATCTTCCTTTGGAGTGGACTTTGAGATTTGTAACTTTGAAGATCTTTTTTATGCCCAAACATACACACTACACACTGACTTAAATGTAAAAAGTGAAAAAGCATCATAGGACCCCTTTAATAAACTGTGTGCTGCTATACTTTCATTGTTTCAAGACTTACCATTATACCATGTTCAAAAACAAAAAACAGACTCTAAAATGTGAAGCATGCAGTTGTTATTTCAGTAATTGTTTATTGTAAAGTAATTCCTAATGTAATCAGGTTTATTCAGTCAGATTAAATACTTTTGACTTAAAACAAACTAGTTCATTTAGATGTTAGCACATCAAGCAGACTTTTAGATTACCTGACAAAACATGTTCACAGGGTACTTTTTTTGTTTTGTTTTGTTTTAGTTTTTAATGGGTTTGATTGTAAGTGTATATTACAAATGAATTAGCAATGAATTACAGGATGTTTGGTTAATAGATTGGGGTTGAATAACTGCAGAATTGGGTACAAATTTGAAATCTGAAAACTGAAAAAAAGATTCATACCTGTATCTCTTTCTCATGCTGGACAACCGATTCAGTGAGATATGATCCAGTGGAGCACTGCCACACCTAAAAAACATTTGAAAACCATTAAATTCTCACCATAAATGGATAAGACTACGAATACATGTACATTTTTGTTAAACATTAAAGTTTGGAAACCTCAAATTAATTACATTAGGTTATTTATGATAATAAAATGATTAAAATTACTAAAAGAGCAAAGAAGATTCAGATTAAATGTATTTCAAGGGCTGCATTATCTGTAAAATGATGTAGCAAAAACAACAACAACAAAAAAGGAAATACTGACAAATTAATTTTTTTGTTAAACATTTAACTTTGGAAACCTTGACTTTTATGGCACAAATAATCACTTAGGTTAATAAAAAAAAAATTGCATTATTACAAAAACAATGCAAAAAATTTTTAAAGAGCAAAGATTCATTTAAAATAATTTGTACTCAGAGGCCGTGTTAACTAAAAATAAATTCATTTATTTATTTATTTTTAAAGAAAATACTGACAATTCAACAACAAAAAATTAACTTTAGACCTCAACAACTTAATTATTTTAAGTTATAGCATACAGTAAATTATCACTTATTTTAATAAAAAAATATTGTATCATTTTTATGTTGATAATAATAAAAAAACAATAATTTATCAAATTTTTGTGGCACAATCAGCAAAGATGATTCGGATTAAATAATATGCACTCAGAGGCTGCATAGCTAGAAAATACTAAACAAATAAATAATTGACTATTCAAAATGTTGTCAGTCATTTTGACAGACAAATACAAGAATACTATTAAAAAACAATTCAATTTTTTTGTTACACTTTAAACCTCAACAACTTAATTATTTTAAGTTATGGCACAAATTATCACAGATTTTATCATTTTTATGTTAATAAAAAAAATCATTTATTAAATTTTTGTGGCACAATCAGCAAAGTAGATTTGGATTGAATAATATGTACTCAGAGGTTGCATAGCTAGAAAATAGTTTAACAATAACTAACTAAAGAAACAAACACAAATAAATAAATAATTGACAATTCAAAATGTTGTCAGTCATTTTGACAGACAAATACAAGAATACTATTTTTTTTTTTAACTCAAAACAAAAAGTGATTTTTACAACTAATAATAAAATAAATAATAATTATTCATAGCACAAGCACTGATGATATCTAATATTCTAGTTACCATGTTATGACTATATATAGCTGTTATCATTTGAATCCAGCTAGTAAAGACAGTAAAGACTATACGAGTGACCTGAAATCTCTGACCCTGTTGAGGGGTAAAATAGTTCACATCTGTTCCAACTTGAGCTGTTTATCTCCCAAAATCACTTCCATTCAACCTGGCAAGACAGTCTGTCGTCCCTCGGGTCTTTGTCAAATAGGTTGTCCAGTGTTCATGAATGCAAGGTATGCAAGTAAACAGCACAGAGGTGGAAAGAGTACGAAAATATTCTACACAAGTAAAAGCACCATTACATTAATGAAATTTTACTTAAGTACAACTAAAAGTACCAGTCTAAAAATCTACTCAAGTAAAAGTAAAAAGTAGCTCATTTAAAATTTACTCAGAGTAAAAATTACTTAGTTACATTTTAACAGTGGGGAGGCAGGCAAAAATGGGATAGGCCAAGGGTGTCAGTTCCTGGAGGGCCACAGCCCTGCACAGTTTAGATATAACCCTAATTAAACACATTTGATCCAGCTACTCTAATCATTTAGGCTTATTAGAAAACTACATGGTAGCCTATGTGTTCGAGCAGGGTTGGAACTAAACTCTGCAGGAGTTACAAATGCAGAAATAATGTTTTGATATATAAGACATAAAATGTTGAATATTCAATTTAAATTATAAAAAATAAAAAAATAAATAAAAAGATACTTTAAATGTGAAATTAAAACCGCTAGTAGATGTCAGCAAGTCACTGTTAATAAGTGAGTCATTGTGATTGAATCGAATCATTTAAAGGAGTTATTCATTCAGGAACGAAACACCGTCATGTTGCTCAGAGATGCAAAACTCTGCTGTGGCTGTGTTTGGAATTATTTTTGTTGTTGAAATAGAGCAAAAACAGGCAATATGGTGTCTAAAACGCAAGTCTTTTAATTAACTTCTTGTTTATTGAACTGTTGTAAAAAAATCTATATGTAATCATGCTGATTTTTGGAGAAAAAAACGGCACTCTTCGTGTGATACTGATTTACTATATGAAATGATATAAATATATAAATTTTCTTCCCCTATATCTTCAATTTTGTGATCATTCTAAATGCATTTTAACAGACTGAATCACGCAGTGAAAGAACGCACTCTAAATGCGTGCGCGCACTAGTCTATCTACTAGACTTCACGGCACGGAGCGATTTTCTTTTTTACTCAGTAATTAATGTGTTTTAAAATGTAGCGAAGTACAATACTTCAAACAAAATATACTTAAGTAAAAGTAAAATTACAGATTTTAAAAATTACTTTAAAAAGTAGAAGTACACAAAAAAGCTATTCAATTACAGTAACGCGAGTAAATGTAATTTGTTACTTTCCACCTCTGAAACAGCATGTACTTTTTTGGATCGCAACAAGCAAGTAAGCATCCTTCAGAGTTGAGTCATGATGTCTAATAGCGTTAATGCATTGTGTAAGAACTTTTAAAAATGACGCTCATGCTATTTAGGGGTTCTGTTTATCTCAAGCGTTTTAACACACACTCAACAGATGCGCTCATCCGCTAGCATGTGGTTTCAATCTGTCAAAGAGCCACAAATAGAAAACATTAAACATGAACACAGTCGCTAACTCTCATATTTAAGTGCTGAAGGAAGCACAAAAACATATGCGGCTTAATCATGCATTATGTTGGAATTTGCTCGCCATGGTTTGTGACTTAAACTGGCACGGACATTCAAATCAAATTCGGGAAGTGCATGTTGTCCTCTGGTGTTAAATATAGACCAAACAACATTATGAATGAAAACACCTTTTAAACATACTGCGGGGAAGGACAGGAATGTTCAGCAACAACAATCATCAAGTTTCTGTTCGCCTCATTGCTAAAAAATCCAATTATTAGTATTGCATTTTGTTGTCTTGAAAGTTCATGCAGGCTTTAAAAATCAAACAGTAAAATTATATTGTCATGGTCAGAATAAAAGACTAAATATTTCATAAAAGGATCATAATGAAGACAGAAAGATGCAGAGACTCAGATTGACAGGGATTTCTACACTTTTGTGCAATTAGTTAATAAACATATAGGTGTGAATTTATTTATAAGTAGTGATAATGTCAATCAGCTCACCTAAATACGAACCTTTTTAAACATCATACAGTGCAATACATTTTTTGAGAGTGACATAAGATCTCAAAATCTGATTAAATTGGACCTGAATGGCCTCCATATGCAAAGACTATGGTATGCCAATATCTAAAAAATGGACATGCTGATGGTTCAAGGCTCGTTTTTCTATTGGGAATTGAACTTGCAACCTTTCATTAGCAGTCCTGATCGTTAAAGGTCCCCTAAAGTGCCTTGAAACACGCAGCGTTATTCTATGTGGTGACGTAATTTCAACTGAAACAGGAAGACAGGGCGGGACATATCGAGCAGCCCCGCCCCCTTTTTAAATTAGCCAACAGCGTTTTGTTTATATCTGCACAGGTCAGAGCCGTTGAGCTCGGTAAAGCCGCATTTGACAGCCACAGTCTAATAGATTACCCCCTAGATTCAATATGAAACTCTTAGTAAAACAAAATAGTGATCATAATCATGCTGAGGCTGTGTAGTTTTAAAAGCGTTTAATATATGCCGACTCGTGCATATGATCCGCTCCGAGCGATCACGTCTCTGGACCGGAGCCAAAGTCCGGATCAGACTGTGCGCGCTGCTGCGGTTCGCGTGACAACGTGAAACCAGACCTCATTTGCCCAAATCGAAAGCATATTTACACTATCTGAATCGTTCCCTTAACACCCAAAAAAACTTTAATTTTGATTTCATGGGGACTTTAATCACCACACCACACCTGTGATCATGAGATCGGTGAGCTCACGGAGAGCATGGACTGTACCTCATTCTGCAGATGAAGGAACGTCTGGAGCCCATACACATTCTCATAGAGGACTGCTGTCCTTCCTTCTTCACCGTCCCCGTCTTCAGGTCCAGAATACGCCCTGGACATCAACACACACACACACACACACACACACACACACACACACAGACAGGAAAGAGGAAAGAAGTTAAATTAGGTATTGGCATTTTAAGTTAATTTGTGTAGGGTACTCTAACAAAATTCCTTACATGACATTTAAAGCAGACATTACACACACAGTTTCTGCCAATCTCATGTTAATCTTGAGTACCTATAGAGTAGTATTGCATCCTTCAGATCTCCGAGTTTTATCAGATTTATAAAAGACAGCTACAGCTTTACGCTTCTCTCCGAAAACAGTCAAGCTGCTGGAGACGTGCCGTGGGCGGAGCTATAGAGTCACGAGCACGAGTGAATAAAACAGGGACTAAAACTTTATTGACTTCGATTAACTATAGCTAAAATTGTTAAAAATGACTAATGCTAGATCATAGGATGTTTTTGAAAGAAGTTATGCTCACCAAGGCTGCATTTATTTGATGAAAAATACATTATATATAATGAAATGTTATTTCAGTTTCAAATAATTGCTTTCTGTTTCATAGAAAAGAGCAAGAGGATTTAGATTAAATAAAATGTATTCAAGGGCTGCATTGACCAGAAAATAATGTGACAAAAAAAAAATTTTAAACATTAAACTTTGGAAACCTCAACTTAATTATAAGTTCTGGCACAAATTATCACTTAGGTTGATAAAAAAAAGATTACATTATTACAATATAATGATAATAAGTTTAAAAGAGCAAAGATTCAGGTAAAATAATTAGGGATGCACCGATACCACTTTTTCCAGTACTCGCCCGATACCGATACTTTTATTTTTGGTACTTGCCGATACCGAGTACCGATACCAATATTTTTATTGCATTTGTACATTTTTTAAATATTGGGTACAGAAACCAAAAGGGTATGTATAATGTTAGTTGGTTAACTTCATTTATCAAATAGATACAGTCAAACCAAAATGTATTCAGACACCTTCAACATTTCTCACATTATCACAGTTTACTCGCTATAGTTTAGAAAATGGTAATAAAATATGACAAGAACTCAGAGTTACACTGTGTCAGAACAAATTCATCTTGATAATGCTAGATAATTCTGATAGAAAGGTATGTAATAGATTACAATCAACCAAAAATCAGACAGCTGTTAGTATGACAGTATTTACACAACTATGAATACTTGTCGGGCAACCCTTAGCCTCAATGACAGCCTGTAGTCTCCAGCTTCATGCCATCAGTGGCAAATCCTTTAAATGAAAACGTACTTTCGTGAGTCAGAACTGCCGGCATTTTAGTCTAACGTTACTCTTCCAGGATCAGTAAACAGTCCTCCATAAAATGTGCTGCACACATCTGAATATTTGGGTTGAACTGTTCTGGAACAGTGTTGTAAATACAACTTAACCATTGATTTTTAGTTGTGTCCTCTTTTGGAAGGCCAAGTAGTTTCTCTTTCAGGCCGGCGGGGCTAGAGTGAGCGGTGGCCGGCGGATTCGACGAAGGAGCGGCCGGCGGGCTTGC